CCACGGGCCGGCCCATAAAAAATTTATATATATAAAAATTTATTCAAATGTTTACCAACAGTAGAATGGGTAAATATATTATGGCATATTCAGATTATGAAATACTACACAGCAAACACAATGAATGATCTTTAGCTATAGGCAAAAACATGGACAGACCATGAGCAAAAGTCCTCAATGACACACAAATAGGTACTGTGTTTTTCCACTTATATTAAGGTTAGTAACAGGCAAGGTTTATGTCTAGGAATGCACACTTAGGTTTTAAAACTATAAACAAACAAACAAACAAACGAACAAAGAAGGAGGGAAATGATGGCCTCAAAAGTTCGGAGAGTATTTACCTCTAGGAGATAAGGCTGAAGTTGGAGGTGTAACCAGGAAGGGGACATACTAGGTGGATCGGGGCAATGACTGTGTTCTGTGTGTTGACTAGATAATACACATATCTTCACTTTACAGTATACATATATCTTAAAGCACACTATATTTGTTTTATGAACTTTTATATATGCATTATATTTCACAATTTAAAAAATTAATGGGGTGGGTGAGGCAGGGAAGAGAGGTAGAGAAAACAATTAACTAAATGGTGGAGAAACGAGTTTGGTGAACTGAACATACTACATGTCACAGGACAGGTGCTAAGAAATGGGAGAACTACTAAGATGTGCTAAGAATGTGCTAAGAATGGCCACACATCCAGGCCAGCAACAGAACCAGCCTGATGCCCAGGGATCCTGAGAGATGGGGGCTGTGGGCCTTAACCTCACCCCACCATACATCCAGGCCAGCAAAGAAACCAGCCAGACACCCGGGGGTCCTGAGAGACAGGGGCCATCGACCTTAGCTCCTCCCCCACTGTACGTCCAGGCCAACAATGGAGACAGCGCAAAGCCTGGGGATCCTAAGACTGTGGGGGCCTTAGCCCTGCCCCCGCCATACATCCAGGCCAGCAATGGAGTCAGCCCAATGCCAGTATCTTGAAATGGGGTCCGGCCCAGCCCTGCACCCTCCACAACCAGACCTTATAATATACCTACTAACCACATGTGTTTCTTTGGGGTGTGCGATTTATCTGCTCATGTCCTTCACCAAATTTTTGCTTAGATTTTTCTAATTCATTTTAAGAGTTCTTTTTGCAATAAGGATGTTAATCTTTGTGTGTTTAAAAAAAAAAGTAGCGAGTAGAATAACGGTTAACAGAGAGGAGTAGGGGTTGTGGGGAAGATTAGGAGTGAACTAATGG